ACCCCACCCCACGCACCCTCCTGGATCTTCAACTCCCGCCAGTACCGCACGACCGCCAGCCGCGGCACCACCCAGCCGCTGACCACAAAGCATGCCGCGGCAATGGCGGCCGCCATGAAAAAGTACGCGTCGCTGGCGCGCTGCAGCCCGGCGGTGGTCTCGGGGGCGGCGGCCTTTGTGATGACGCGGATCACCACGATCAGGGTGCCGGCGCTCGCGGTGCCGCCGACAATCGCCTAAAAAGCGACCCATTGGTGGTGAGGAAGGTTGTTATACATAAGGGTAAGGGTATGACGGCCGGCCGCACAAGGGGGGCAGGTTGATACGAAAACGGCTAGGGTCTCCTGGCGGCTGACAAGCAGTGCGGCAGGCTGCGGCCTCTGCGCTGTGCCGGCCTCGGGTGCGCATCGGAAGCTGCTGCGCAGCCGCTGGGCCTGGGTCTCTTGTCTGTGCCTTGCTTGGCCTACACCTCGGCAGCAACACTATGAAACAGACACACACACACACACTACGCTCACAAGTAAAAGCACACACGTGCGACACACACACATTTACAGATGCAACCAACGCAATTGCGCATAGATTGCTACAAAATCACACATACAAGAATACTCACGCCCATGCACATCCTCACCCACACACCCTCAAGCATGCAACATGAACACGCACAGACCCGCGCTCCTCACGTGTGTGTACTCTGGCGGCAGCAGCGCCGCCTCCCCATACAGCGCCCCCTGGCCGATGCCATCCAAGCACCCGATGAGGGCGCCGACCAGCAGCGTGCCCGCGTACACCCCCTCGGGCGCCTTGTCCTGGTTGCCGACGACGAAAATGTCCATCTGCGAGCCGTGGGGGGAACGTGCATGGGTGCCAGCACGCGCGAGTGCATGCGGGGGAGAGGGTGCAAGGGAAAGGCCTCTGTCAGTCCCGGCCGACTCTGCGAATGGTGCACCGGCCTTTGGACCCTGCATAACCCTGCGTGTAAGATCATAACGAGACGCAAGTACGAGTTGGTCATCACCAGGACGTCATGTTCCGCAAGCTGGGGCCCCCTCCGCCGCTCACCAACGGGATCACCAGCAGCGTAAGCGCAAAGCCACCGTAGGCCACGAGGATGCGCAGCCGCGTCCACGCGCTGAGCTTCAGCGTGGCCAGCAGGAAGAAGAGGCAGGGGGGCAGGTACACCACTGTGAGCAGGCGGTCCATGTGGCGGCCCTGGGGATCATGATGGGGTGGGGGGGGGGTTGTGAGGGTTGTGGTCGAGGGATTGGGATGATGCAATTTGAGGAGGCAGGGGACGCAGGTCCCACAGGTGTGTCTCGCTCTGATGTCACGAGCTTTGGGCGTGGGAAGGGGTAAGCGGAAGGGGGGAACGGCAACAGCGCATGAGATTGGCGTGCGGGCTCTGCCTGCTGGCGGCCAATTCCTGTACGTCCTGCGGTGTCAGCTGCAGCACGCCCCTGGGTCTGCTCGTGCGCCCGAGTCGGGGGCCGCCTGGGGTACCAGCTGCGCCACTGCCGGCCTGATTGTGTCTCCACAACCCCTAACCCACCGGCCACATTGTCTCGGTGTAGTCTGCCGCGCTGATGAGGGCGTTCCAGGATGCCTGGAATAATGAAGGCACACGCAGGTGTGCAAGGCATCTTGGTGGGGCACCATGGCAGGAGCTGCGCCGTCTGCAGTACAGCTAGCCACGGCGGACCATTCTGCCGCAGTGGCGCCCTGGGATCCGGCCCGCAGGCAGGGCCGGGAACTTGGAGCGCGGAGTCGGCTGCGGTATTGTCGTTTGGGCTCAGCGAATTGCAGCGTTGCTGGCGGGGCGGCCGGTGCTCTCGCGGCGCGGGCCCACCAGCATGCCCGTGCCCAGCAGGAAATAGCAAGCCCAGCACGCCCAGCGGGACGCCTGCGCGGCAGCAGCGGCGGTTGTGAGGGTTTGTTTGGCCGCTGGCGCTGGCCTGGCGGGGGCGTCACCGCGCCGCGCCGCGCGCCCGGCTTCAAAACGCACACCAAAATCACTTCCAGCACCACAGTCGCAAGTAACGGCTGTTATTTGCCCCTGATAGATACTTTCAAGCAGCACAGGCTGATATTGCTGGCAAACGACCGCGCCTGGAGTGGTTCGACGCTGCCCATGCCTTCCGAGCCAGCGCACCCGGTCTGTGGGAGGTCCATCGAGGTTCTTTGTGACGTCGCTACTCATGAGTTTCGCTGTCGAGCTTTCAACCCCGCGATGCTGTTGCTTTGATGAAAGATGTCGAACGCACGCAGCGTCCGCGCTTGGCACGAAATGCAAGCCGATCAACAGCATGACATGTAGTGGCATGTTACCGTGTCACCCATACGGCTTTGTCACCGCTGTCACGGGTACAGTAGTCACCTCGTCGTAACCAGCATTGACTGTGGTGTATGTGTGCCGGCTACTTCCCAGCATGCCCTCTGCAATGAGTGTACACCGGTATGTGTGCAGCTGAATGTCATTCGTATATCATAAGTTCAACATGGTTGTTGTTCACTGAGTCTAGGGGCAGGTGGGCATGGAAGCGGGGGCAGCGCAACCTCAACGATATGGTGCCACAGCAGGCAAGGGGAGGGTGCGCATGCTGTGAAATGGAATACCGGGGCCGAGTGTGGTAGATTTGGAATTGCTAACCGAGGAAGCACACCTTGTGTGCGAGCCGTAGTGATGCAAGCTCTTTGCTGGTCGCCTGGCAAGTCCTGCGCGTGTGGCCGCTTCAACTCATCAACCTGGGTCGTCGCACCACCAGGCAGGGGGCACATCTCCTACACTTGCTGGAAAATCGATGTAACACCTCTCCCTATCGCAACGTCTGGGAGCCCAAAGCGCGGCTGCAGGAGCGGGTAGCACTCGGAGGGCCAGATGGTGGATGTTTTGCTGGACTGCAGTGCGGCGTCTGCGCCCTGTCAATTCTCATCCCAGACGATCATCATTTGATCAACCCAGTGTGCGAGCGCATCTAGCTTCAATAGTGAACTGTATACAGAACTTGAGCCAGATCACGAGCACTCACTCGATCCGCTGCTAACTTCGGCTTATCGCACTTATATTCAACAGGGGTTGCTGGCACCTTTTCTCAGGCGGCGCGAGGCATGGTGTAACAGAGAACTGCAGTGCGTGCGGGCGGGGCGCACGCGCCGCTGCGCTGCTCGTGCTGCGTTGCCGCGGCTTCTGGGGCACGAGCCAACTTCGGGGATCTGACGCGCCAACTGGGCGCCCGCGCCTGCCAGCATGGTGGACATAGGGCTCATGGTAAGCGGCGGGCGCGGTGCTTGCACGCCGCCAGCTGCAAACCCATGCGACAGCCCCGGGCTCTCCGTGTCGTTTGTGCCCACGGCGCCAGCTCGGCCGGGGACCTTGGTGAGGCGGCACGGGCCGTCGCGGAGCGCCCGCACCGGCCGCCCTGAACCTTCTGCCCATTGTTTTACAGGCGCTGGAGGCTGCGGAGGCGGGCGTGGCAGAGGTGGTGCGGCTGCTGCAGGTGCGGCGAGGGGGCCTCTGGCTGCCTCGCGGCAGCAGAGGGGCATCTCCCCACCATCACGTCCCCGCATGTGCCACAAGACACACGCTTGCAGGCAGACGAGCAGGCGCTGCAGCTCCTGTGGCTTGCAGCAGAATTGGGGGCAGGTTGTGGGTCGACCGCCAAAGCTGCTGCTGCCTGCTGCAACGGCCCTGTGCTCAACAGCAGCAGCAGC